GGTGTAGTGCCCGCACCGCGCTCAACCAGTGAGCGGACTGGTCTCTATATGGGATCCGAACCCTAGGCGGGAGTGCCACCGTGCTCCCAAGCGCCGCACTCTACCGAGTGTGCCACCGGGCCGGCCCATACAATTCAATTCTTGCAACATTTCTGTAGGGTTGAAAATTTACACAAAAGTTTTTTAAGATGTGAGAACACTTTTCTGGAAATAACTAAAGTCAATATAGGGTATGAGACTTTACTCAATATCTGTTCTGCTAGACACACATACCACAATTGCAATGATGTCATTTAATCCTCCACAACTCATGGGGGAATTAATAGGTAGGCTTCAGATTCCGTTTAAAATAGAGATCATGTAATATGCCCTAAGAGGTAATCTGCCCTAAAAGCTTATTATCTTGCCTGTGGATAAAAAAATTAATTCTTGGAGGAAAAGAAAAACAATACACTGAGGTGTCAAGGGTGAGGTGTTAAATAAGGGTCAGCCCTGGGTGATAATACCACATACCATTTTCTTGATTTTTCAGATTTCCATCATAAAAAATATAATTTATGTTCAAAAAATACCAATGAAGATTTTTAATAAAGCAAACAATTTTACAGTAAGGCACAAATGAGATCTTTCTAGACTTTAATAAACTTAGCCATTCCAAGTTATTACTGGTTCAGATTCCCAGGTTTCATGATTGCAAAAGGCAGGGAAGGGGTGTAAATGGGCAGACAGTAATTCAGCTCTTGGTTTATTTTCCCTTGATTTGTTTACAATGGGATATTTGCATGTTTCCTCCAAGGACGTTGCACCTTTTTGCTGGCCAAGACCTCCAGGTCACAGCAGATTCGGGCACGAGTGGTGGAAGGTTGGATGATGTCATCCACAAACCCTGGTGAAGCACAGAAAGGAAGAAGATCATCTGCATCCTCAGAAGATGCCACTGCCCCCGTCCCCCAACCCTGTGCTCAGCTTGGGCACCATCCCTGGGCCAACAGTGTGAGCAGGCTCCACCCTGAAACAGAGTCCTGTGAACCCTCCCCTCCATCCCAGGAGCTTACCTATTCTTCTGGCAAGTCCCTAACTTCTGGCCTAGGAGCACTTCGCAAGAAAAGGAAAATCTGAATCCCTCCCTACCCAGCTTGCTCCAATGCATCCACCCAACCAAGATGAATTCAATAGGAAATAAAATTTTTTAAATACATCTGTATTTTCAAAGATGGCAACAACAATTCCTTGCATCCCCGTACAGAAGACCCTCTGCAATGTGACTTTGCCACTTCTCCCCATCAAGAGGTAGATTCTATTTCTTTTCCTGGCCTTGTGACTTGCTTTGGGCAATAAAATGTGGCAAAATTGACACTGGGCAACTTCGAAACCTAGGCCTCAAGGGGACTTGCAGCTTCTCCTCACCCTCTTGCTACCCTCAGGACACCATGTAAAGAAGCCTAGACTAGGCTTCTCATCTTAAGGATGAGAGACCATGTGGGTAGCATCTACCTATCAGCCAGCACCTACCACGTAAGTGACGCCATCTTGGATAAGTCAAGCCACTGGATGAATACGGCTGTGTCAGTGATCCCAGGTAAGACCAGCAGAAGAACCACCCAGCTGAGCCCAGACCAAACTGCTAACTCTCAAAACCACAAGCAGGAAAAAAAGGTGGTTGGTTTAAGCCACTGAGTTTTGGGGTGGATTTTTACACAGTACTAGTTAAGTGGAACAGCAACTAGAAATGTAGCCACTTTGGCAATGTTGTTTTGACCCTGGTTACCAAAGCAACATATACAGCCTCATTGTCCTTAAGTAACAACTGCCCAGGAATAGCCTGCAGATTAGACTGCAAAGGCAAAAGTAACCAAACAAATGAACAAAACTGCTGTCCCCACCACAGTTGTTACCTCTTACTGCTGCAGGAAAAGGATTGGCAAATTTCTCAATGTACTCTGCCTGAGCAGCTTCCACATTCTCGTGCCCTTTGAAGATGATCTCCACAGCACCCTGTCATAAGAAGCATTTACAAACTTCACTTGGAGATCCCAACTTGGACAGACCTCCTGCAACTCATTACCACTGTGCGTGGTTACTAACTTCGTGGCAAACCAAAGTATACTAGAGAGAAGTGCCAGCTCCTAAGGCCAGACCACAGAGGTTGGCACTGCCTGGGGCCATGACTCCAGGGACTGTGTGATGGGAAGCTCAGCTGCAGCTCCAACAAGGGGCAGCCCAGGCAAAGCCAGTAGCTTCTCTCCCCAGATTCCATCCTACCCTTTCACCTGCACTCATCATCCTTCTGTGAGGCCAAGATGTTTGGCCTATTTTTCACTATTAAATCCATGGTCCCATGTCAAGGGAAATTAAAAATGCTGTTTTCCTTTTTCATTATCCTGAGCTCTGAGTACACAATTCAGCAGCTAGAGGACAACGGATTGAACTGAAAATGTAAAAGGACTGGCCTTCAAGTCACAACACCTGTAAGTCAGCTCCAGGGGGCCCTGGGAGTTATCTGGTTCAATCCCAATAGCTATTTCAAAGCAGGGAAGGAGTAGGAAATAGGTCTGGCAACAGGAAGTATACTTCCCAAAATCACCAGAGTCAGAACTACAGCTCAACTTCTTATGGGCTGAAAGGAGTGGCTCTGCGGCCCTCCTTGGGAGCTGATGTGGGGTTGGGGTGATGTCCAATACTCTCAAAGGTTTGTTTGGCTAACTCAACCCTCTCTTCCTCTTTATTTACAATCTCAGAGTCCACTCTGGGACCCTCTTACTTTCTATTCCTTTCACCTGCCCCACCTTCCCTGGCATGAAGACACCTGCACATGCCAGAAGTGAGAGTGCAGGACAGGAGGCAGGGCTGACACTGGAGCCCCAGGAGGAAGACTTGCCAAAGTCTAGGCCCTACTTCCTCCAGTCCTGACTCATCCTGGGGCCCTGGCCTTTTGCCAACATTCCCCAGCTATGCTTTGAGCTCCTGCTGGGAGAGTATAGTCCCTGGACCCAGGAAAGGAGAAAGCTAGAGGTCCTCACCTTTGCTCCCATGACTGCGATCTCTGCTGTGGGCCAGGCGTAGTTGGTGTCACCAAGAAGGTGCTTGGAGCTCATGACATCATAGGCACCTCCATAGGCCTAGAACAGACCCAAATACTGAATGTCAGAGCCTGAGACAACTAATTATGTCCCTGAAAGACTGCAGGAAGCCTGATGAAATGGGGACAAAGAACGAGAACAGCCTTCCTGGGATCCTAAAGGCCCCAGGTCTATGAGAACTTTCACAACTAATGTGCACTGTCTGTCTTGGCTTTTTCCCACTGCTGCTTTCAGTTCCCTTGTGTTGAAAGACCACAGACATCCCTGCAAGGTGTGTCTGCAGGGCTAGAAATGCTGTCCTGAAGACATCTTTTTTTTTTTGTCCTTTTTTGTGACCGGTAAGTGGATCGCAACCCTTGGCTTGGTGTCGTCTGCACCGCGCTCAGCCAGTGAGCACACCGGCCAACCCTATATAGGATCTGAACCCGTGGCGGGAGCGCCTCTATGCACCCAAGTGCCGCACTCTCCCGAGTGCGCCACAGGGCCGGCCCCTGAAGACATCTTCTTAAGGATGAGCAACATGTGCTTCTCCTTCCAGCCCTGGTGAGACTCATGACCGGACTATGGCCATGCTGCTGGGAGGCTGAGTGGGGTCACAGCCTCCAATGTGAGGTCCTCACCTTCCTGGTGATGACTGTGACTTTGGGCACAGTTGCCTCAGCAAATGCGTAGAGAAGCTTGGCGCCATGTCGGATGATGCCCCCATATTCCTGTGCTGTGCCTAGGTCATGAGGAAAAGTTACTAGATAGCCACAAAAGTCTTCACAAAATTTGCCTGCCATTCTCAGGTATGAGGTCTTCCCATACCCCTGGAGAGGGCCACCCCTCAACCTGTCTTCAGGACACACAGAATATGTGGAGAAGTCACAAATCCTTTGGAAATTTTGCAAGAAAATCTCAAAAAACAAATGTGTGTCTTACTAGGAAAAAACCACTTCTCCTGGCCCCGACCTCTGTCAGTGACTTACCAGGCAGAAAGCCAGGGACATCCACGAAAGTGATGAGTGGAATATTGAATGCATCACAGAACCTGACAAAACGAGCCCCTTTCACAGATGAATTAATATCCAAGCACCCTAGAAAGAGAGAGATTATCTATGCTGAGCTTCTGGGCACATCCCAGTTTTACCCACAATGGGAATATGTCCTCAGCAACCACCCAGACCTCTTTTCTACGGAGGCACCATGGTTTCCTAGTCTCAGAACAGTAGCAGGGAACTCTCATGCTCCAAGAAAACCAGGGCAGACGGAGAACCCACATGACACTGGTCAAAGGGGACCCAGGAATCACCTCACCCCGCAGGCTCCCTTGCTGAGAGAACAGCCCAGCACCGGCAGCTAAGCTCTGCCCCATTGACTAAAGGACACTGCCACCAGCTGAGGCCCAGCCTGGCTTCCCCAGGTGTAGGAGGTATTCAGGGGCTGGTCTTAGAGAGCTTGGAGCTTAGAATCATATTCCAGCTATGCCAATTTTAGCTATGTGCCCTTGAGAAATTACTTGATCTTTCTAGCCTGAGATTCCTCACTTGCAAAGTGGAGATGTTACTACCTCCTAGAATAGTTGTGATGATTAAGGGAAGTAGGATCTACGAAGTGGCACAGAGAAATGGCTCAGTCACCAGTAAATCTCCCCTCCTAGGAGTGTTTCCAACCTATTCTATGATGGCAGCATTACCTTGATACCTGAACAAGATAAGGACATTATAAGAAAAGAACACAGACCAAAATCCTTCATGAACATATATACAAAAATCCTTACTTTTTAAGTAAGGCATATTACCAAATCTAATCCAGCAATATATAAAAACTGTAATACATCATGACCGTGTGGAGTTTATCCCAAGAATCTAAGGTTGATTTTTTTTTTTTTTGTCTTTTTTACTGACCGGTAACGGGATCGCAACCCTCGGTGGTGCGCCCGCACTGCGCTCAGCCAGTGAGCGGGAACCGGTCTCCACATGGGATCCGAACCCTTGGCGGGAGCACCGCCGCACTCCCAAGCGGCGCACTCTCCAGTGCGCCACCAGGCCGGCCCTAAGGTTGATTTTAATATGAGAAAACCAATGAAATTATTAAATAAAGGAGAAAAACCATACAATCATCTCAACAGATGCAGAAAAAACACCTGACAAAATTCAACTTTCATCCATGATTAAAAACTAACAGTAAACAAGGAATAGACCTTCTGCAATCTAGTAAAGAGTATCTACAAAAAAGCTTATAGGCTTATAAGCTTATATGGGCCAGAAGAACAAATATTATTTAAATATCTATTCTCCTGAAACTGAGTTGTATCAGTGCTGCCCGAAAGAACTTTCTCTGATGACAAAAATGTTCTCTGGCTATGCTGTTTGAAATGGTAGCCACTAGTAACGTGTCTATTGAGCACTTTAAATATGGTTAATGCAACTGAGAACTAAGTTTTTAATTGTACTTCATTTTATTTATTTATTTTTTGGGGGGGGGCAACTGGCCAGTATGGGTATCTGAACCCTGGACCTTGGTGCTATCAGCACTGTGCTCTAACCAAATGAGCTAACCAACCAGCTCCCTAATTTTTTTATATATTTTAATAGTTTTAAATTTAAAAGTTTAATAGCTAGCATACTGAACAGCACAGATCTATACTTCCAAACAATTTCTATCAAAATTGAACCTTAGGGGCCGGCCCGGTGGCGCACTGGAGAGGATCCCACATACAGACCGGTTCCCGCTCACTGGCTGAGCGAGGTGCGGGTGCGACACTGAGGGTTGCGATCCGTTGCCGGACACGAAAAAAGACAAAAAGAAAAAAAAAAACAAAAAAACAAAATTGAACCTTAAAAATATTATGCTAAGTGAAATAATTCTGATATAAGACAATAAATATTGTTTGATTCCACTTATATGAAATATCTAGAATAGGCAAATTCATATATAGAGAATGTAGATTTAGATTACTAAAGGCTAGGGGTTGGGAGGAATAGGGAGTTATTGCTTAATGGGTACACAATCTCTGTTTGGGGTGATGAGAAAGTTTTGAAAATATATAGTGGTGATGGTTGCACATACTGTGAATATAACCAATGCCACTGCACTGTTCACTTAAAATGGTTAAAATGGGCAGATTTTATGTTTATATATTTTACACATACAAACACAAAAAACTTAAAATTGCCACTGCTGAAATAAAAGATGAGGCTGAGTCAATAAGAGAGGGCAGCTTCTTCCCACACGAGGATTCAAAACAAACCTGAGGGAAAACAGTTAGGAGGGAAGCAGTATCCAAGTCCCCCCACCCCACCAGAGCACAGCCATGGAAGAGTCCCCATCACCTGGCTGAGACCCAGGTCCAGCCATACTTTCAGAAAGCTGTGGGACACAAATACAGCAAGATGCCATTAATTTGTCACGTACAACTCTTTATCTGGCACTACTGAAGGCATCAGAGATACAACTTGAATAAGATCACAATACCCATGCCCTCATGGCACTCACAGATTAGTGGGTGAGACATATACTGAACTGGAGGGATGGAAAGCTGACCTCTGAAAAAGTAAACACGTTATAAGCTAAGGAGGAAAGTTATCTAAAAACCCTTATAAAAGGAATAAGTAAAAAGGGAGTGTTTTGAGATATTATTAAAAGAAAGTTGATTTACACATCCATTTGAGTTTCTTCCCTGGTCACAGAAGGCCATGTCTGAGCAAAGGCAAAAGGCAGAAAGGAAGGACATCATGGGCCCAAGCAGTTCTGGCCTCCAACCCCAACCCATGGTTTACGAGAGCTTTACTGTCCTACCTGAGGCCACCTTAGGTTGGTTGCCAACAATTCCAACAGTCCTTCCATTCATTCTTGCAAAACCAACAACGATGTTCTTAGCGTAATTAGGCATGATCTCAAAAAATTCTCGCTCATCAACAACCTACGGGAATAAATTTGCTCCTGAGCTCAAAATGGTAAAGACAAGTATGAGATGCAACTACATTATAGTTGCAGGCATTTATATCACAGGATTTCAGACATTCGCCTAACAGAATCACAGAGCTGCGCAGCTCCCACTTCTCCCGCAGGCTCTCCAGGGAAGCAGGGTGACAGCAAGTCCTCACTGCTGGAGGGAACAGTGGGAAGATGGGAAAACCCTCTCACTGCTGGGAGGGGCTGCACCAGCACAGCGTCTTACAGGTTCTCTTTGAATGTGGAATTATTTAAGGTAATTTCTTTTTACCTTTTTATGTTGAAGTCATTTCAAACTTACATAAAAATTTCAAGAACAGTACAAAAAACATTCATACACCCTTCCAGATTCCACATTTATTAACATTTCACCACATAAAGTTTATCTTTCTTTCTCCCTCTTTGCCTCTCTCTCATACACACACACACTTTCTTTCCTGAACCTTTGAGAGTAAGTTACAGACATGATCCCTCTTTACCTCTCACTCCTTCATTGTCGATCTCCTAAGAACAGGACATTCTGTTATGTAAATTCAGTGTTATCAAAATCAGGAAATTAACATTAATACAAGACTATCTTCTATTATATAACCTTATTCAAATGTTGCCAGTTGATCCAATAACATTTTTTAAATTAATTTTTTTAAAAATTGAAACATAATTGTATATATCTGGAGTACAGCATTGAATATCAATACCTGTATGCAATATGTGATGCTCCAATCAGGATAATTACTATATTTATCACTACAAAAGGTATTCGTTTTTTTGTGGCCACTTACCAATTTCTGGGTAACCCTCCCTCCCCTTCCCCCTTTCCCTCCTCTGCTTGCCTCAGTTTGTTCTCTCCTTTTGAAAGTACAACTAATTATTGTGACTGTTGTATCTTTCTTTCTTTCTTTTGCTCCCACTTATGAGGACATGCAGTCTTTCTCTTTCTGAGCCTGGCTTATTTCACTTAACATAATTTTTTCTAAGTTTGTCCACATTGCTGGAAATGGCAGAATTTCACTGTTAACGGTAGAATAAGTACTCCACTGCATATACAGACCACATTTTCTTTATCCAGTCATCTGTCGATGGACATTTAGGTTGGTTCTAATTCTTGGCTACTGTAAACAGAGCTGCAATGAACATGGGAGTGCAGGTTTCCCTTCGACATGATGATTTCCATTCCTTTGAGTATATACCCAGAAGTGGGATTGCTGGATTGTATGGTAGTTCTATCTACAGTTGTTTGAGGAACCTCCATACTGTTTTCCACAATGGCTGCACTACTTTACAGTCCCACCGACAGTGTAGGAGGGTTCCCCTATCTTTGCATCCTCATCAGCATTTGTTATTCTCTGCCTTTTTGGCCAGTCTAACTGGGGTGAGATGATATCTCAATGTGGTTTTGATCTGCATTTCCTTAATGCTGATGTTTGATGCTTGATCCTTGATGTTGAGCATTTTTCCATGTGCCTGCTGGCCATTTGTATAACTTCCCTTGAGAAAGGCCTATTTAGCCCCTTTGCCCATTTTTTAATGGTTTTCTTTTCTTTTTTTTTACTGTAAAATTGAATTCCCTGTATGTTCTGGATATTAATCCCTTGTTGGATGCACAGTTTGCAAATATTTTCTCCCATTCTGTAGGCTGTCTTTTTCTATTAATTGTTTCCTCTGTTAGAAACTTTCTAGCTTGAGAGAATCCCATTTGTTTATTTTGTTGTTGCTTGTGCTTTGGGTGTCTTATTCACAGAAATTTTTTAATTTCCTGTTTAATTTTCTTCTTCAATCAACACATCATTCAGGTGCATGTTGTTTAATTTCCATGTATTTTTATAGTTTCCAGAGTTTTGCTTGTTATTGATTTCTAGTTTTAATCCATTGTGCTCTGAAAAGATATTTGAAATGATTTTGATTCGTTGACACTTGATTTGTGACCCAACATGTGGTCTATCATGTTATTGATTTCTAGTTTTAATCCATTGTGCTCTGAAAAGATATTTGAAATGATTTTGATTTTTTAAAATTCGTTGACACTTGATTTGTGACCCAACATGTGGTCTATCGTAGAGAATGTTCCATGTGCTGATGAGATGTATATTCTGTAGTTGTTAGATGAAATGTTCTGTAGATACCCTCCAAATCCAATTGGTCTAAAGTGTCACTGAAATCCTGTGTTTCTCTGTTGATTTGTTGCCTAGATGATCTGTCCAATGCTGAGAAAGGGGTTCTCAAGTTCCCAACTATTATTGAATTAGGGTCTCTTTCTTTAGATTTAATAGTGTTTGCTTTATATATCTGGGTGCTCCAGTGTTGGATGCATATATATTTATGATTATTACATCTCCTTGCTGGATAGATCCCTGTATCATTATATAATGGTCTTGTCTCTTTTTATGGTTTTTGGTTTAAAGTGCATTTTATCTGATATAAGAACAGCTACTCCTGCTCACTTTTGGTTTCCATTTGGGTGGTATATCTTTTTCCATCCCTTCAGTATTAGTCTTGTTTGCCTTGATAGGTGAGATCAGTCTCTTGCAGACAGCATATAGTTGGGTCTAGCTTTTTAAATCCAATCAGCCAGTCTATGTCTTTTGAGTGGGAAATTTAATCCATTTACATTTAGGATTATTACTGACAGGCAGTCTTACTCCTGGTATTTTATCAATTTTCACTTGGATGTTTTAAATATCTTTTGTTCCTTTCTTTCTCCTTTAGTGTTTGTCCTCAGTGGTTATTGGTTTTTTGAGGTGGTAAGATATAGTTTCTTTCTCTTTCACATCTGCAGTTTTGTTCTACCAGTGGATTTTGTTCTTTCTTATATATTCATGATAGTGATTATTATTTTTTGGATTCCAAATGCAGGACTCCCTTGAGGATTTCTTGTAGGTCTGGTCATGTGGTGGTAAACCCCCACAGTTTTTGTTTGTCTGGAAATACACTATTTCTCCTTCATTTCTGAAGGATAGCCTTGCTAAGTATAATATTCTTGGCTCGCAGTTTTTTTCTTTTAGTATTTTGAATATATCCCATTCTCTTCCAGCCTACAGATTTTCCTTTGAGAAGTCTGCTGTTAGTATGATGGGGACTCCCTTACAGGTGACTTGATGCTTTTCTATTGCTGTTTTTAGGATTCTCTCTGTCACTGAGTTTCACTAGTCTGACTATAATGTGTCTTGGAGAGGACCTTTTTGAATTGAATCTGTTTGGTGATCTTTGAGCCTCCCAGATGTAAAGGCCCATGTCTCCCTACACCTGGGAAGTTTTCAGATATTATTTCATTGAATATGTTTTCAATGCCTTTTCCTTTCTCCCTTTCAGAACACCCATGATTCAGATGTTTGTGCCATTAAGGTTGTCTGCTAGCTCTTTGAGATTTTTCTTTCTTATTCTTTCTTCTCTTCCCCCTCCCACTCCCCGGGTTATTTCACAAAGACTGTATTCAAGATTAGAAATTCTTTCTTCTCTTCCTCTAGCCTGATGCTTAATATCTCAGTTTTGTTTATTTCACTGAATGAATCTTTCAGTTTCAGGAGTCCTACTACATTCTTTTTTGAAGTATTACTCTATTTGTTAACTTCCTCCTTCATATCCTGGATAGTTTAGGATAGTTTTCTCATTCTGTTATGTCATCTGAGTCTTCCTGTATGTCACTGAGTTTTCTTAAGATTATTTTAGCTTGGAATTCCTTTTCAGTCATTTCAAGTGTTTCCTGCTCTATAGGTCTGGTATTTGAGGACTATTGTATTCCTTTGGTGGTGTCATATTTTCTTGTTTTTTTGGATTGCTAGTATCTCTATGTGGATGTCCAGTCATCTGAAGAGCAGTTGCTTCTTCCATTACTCCGGAGTGGCCTCTGAGGAGAGAGACTCCCTCCTCAGATGTGTTTATACTGACTGTTGAGTAGGGTATTTTAGCATTGGTTCCGGGTGGACACAGTAGTGTAGTCTGCATGTGAGTACTTTCACCATATTCAACATCAGAGTGGTGTGTAAGTGCTTCCGTGGCCTAGCCACTGAGGCCTCCTCCAAACTTTTTATTTTGGGGCAATCTGACATATAAGAAGAGATAATTCAATATAATTTTAAATGGCATTTCTAGCATTATGAGTGAAGCTGAACATCTTCCCCAGTACTTAAGGTCCATTTTATATCTTTTTTGTGATCTACATATTCATGTCTTTTGCCCATCTTCCTATCAATTTTGGCCTTTATTCCCTCAATTCTTAAGAGTTCTTTATTAAGAATATTAACACTTTGTGATATTTGCTGCAAATATTTTCTCCCAGTTTACCAGTTGTTGTTTGACTTTGTTTATAGTTTTTTTGCTATGAAGAGTAGGATTTTTAAATTTTTACATAGCTCTGTCAATCTTTCCTTTTACAGAAACTAGATTTTGAGTCACAGTTCAAAAGCACTTCTTTACATTCCCCTAAATTTATAGAATTCATCTGTGCTTTCTTTTAGTAATTATATGAATTCACTGATTATATTTAGTTCTGACTCAGTTGTTGTATAGTTGTTGTATATTTTTGGAAGTGTAAAGAAGGAATCTAATTTTATCTTTTCCTAAACAGCTGTCCAGTTGTCTCAGCATCATTTATTAAAAAGTTATCTTTGCTCCTGGGATTTGAGATACCTTTATCATCTACTAAAACACTATATATACTTTTGTGGCTATTTCAGGCTTTTCTATTCTATCCCACAGGCCTATATGTGCACCTGTACAACACTGTTTTAACTACAGAATGCCTTAAAACACTGCTATTCCTCACTTACAGCTTTTCTTTTGCAGTACATTCCCAGCTATTCTTGCACTTTTATATTTCATATGAACTTCTGTATAAACTTGTCTATTGTATTTTTAAAAGTTTATTGGGACTGCCTTAAATTTAAAAACTTAAGAGGAACCTACATTTTTATGATGTTAACCCATTATCCAGGAACAAGATGTCTCTCCATTTGTTCAAGTCTACTTTTG